ATTATACTGGATGAATAAGAACACAAAATACAAGCAATGCAATAGTGGGGAGTCTGGGGACATTACAAAAACAGCAAACCTGTCATCTCTCAAACACCAAAATTAATGCTGATAGCAGACCCTGGTCCAAGCAAGCACTAAAAATATCCTGCTAGCAGTTCATATTAATAAAGAGAAGAGCCTTTTCATATTACATTTCAAGTTTATATATCTTCCTATTTGGGTTGCCCCTAAGACACATGTCCTTTCTATGTATGGAGTATTATTTTAAAACTTATTTTCGCAAAGCAGCATGAAGTAGTTGATATGAGTCTTATGACAGATCAGTCAGATCCTGTGTAGGCCCTGAGGCAGACACAGGCCAGTGACGAAGATCTTTGGAACTTTCTTTGAGTTTCATGCATCAAAACGTGTCATCATCATCACCACACTTCAACTAATAATGATCATATCAGTGTTAACTCGTGACTCAAACTCTACAGTTACCTTTGTTTGAATCCATTCAAACTGATTATAAATAAACACAAGAGACGAGGAACAGTATGTGAGCTAAGAAGCAATTCATCATAGTATTCATAAAAGTGTAGGTGAAAACTTTCCAGATGACGTACAACTTTTGGTGAGATTTTGAAATGCGCATCCACTGGACACTTTACTATCCCATAAAAGCCACGGGAGAGGATTTGTAAATGGCAGTGAAGCCACACTAGCCTGGTTAAAACCAGACCATTCTCAGTTGTAACTGAGTTATGGTCTGGCAAAGCGTCATAGACAAATTATTTCCAGAGGGGCGTCACCAACGGACGTCGCGGATAGACCTAAAACCAATCAGAGCGATGAAGGAGATGACGTATGCAGAGCGGCGGAGAAACATCTCTGAGTGTTGTTCTTTGCTCGGTTTTTAACAAAAAGGGAACGTTCAAATCGCTTAAAACAGACGCGATAGCTGATTCGAACGAGTGATATTCGACGGCGGCATCCATCTTTGTAATGTAGGCTACAAAATCTGCTTCAAAATCCCAGCGCTGTCGTCATCGTGTAAAGCCCGCCCCAACGTTTTTTTGATTGGTGCCTCGATTTCGACGGATTGGAAATGGGCTTGAATGAGCTCTTTGCCAGACTAACTTTCAGAGCAAATCTAAATTTGCCGGAAGTTGTCTGGGTTTTCCCAGGCTAAAGCCACACCTGACACATGACAACATCATTGCAAATATACTTTTAACGGTTGCGAATAGACTCATAGACAACACATCTTACTAATGTAAAACATTCAGGAAGTAGCTATAATCAAAGAGAGCCATCTTACACTGTCACCATTTCTTTCACCTCAGAGTTAAAGTCTTGTGAATTGTCATTCACAAAAAACACAACGCATATAAGCATATTTAACAAAAAAATATATAGGACAGGACTTAAAGTCACTATGAAATGGCAATAGTGACAGATCTTTTTGTCAAATTTGACAGATTGTTGTCAACTTGTTGACAACAATTTACACACCCACCCAGTGGCGTGCACAGACCTCCTCAGGGGCAGGGGCGGAGGGACAAAAAAGGGCACTAAACATTTTTTTGTTGTTGTTTTTATTCTTTCTTTCCTTGGCATTCTACGAAAATATTTTGATACAATTAGAATGCATAACACATCAAATGAAAATAGGGAAATTATGATAATATTATATTTTAATATATATATATTTTATATTTATATATATTTTTTAATATATAATATATATTTTATTAAACACACTTATTTACAAAACACAATTTACAAAATCTCTCGTTGGGAGACTCGTGTGCAGAACATAGTTAAACACAGTTAAATAGAACAAAATTCGATAAAGAAAATAAATACAAATAAATACAAAATAAAATAAATTAAGCAAAGGCACTTCAGTCCATAAGGCAATGGAGCATATAAGTGCTCCATTGTTTTTCATTTGTTAGCACTCTCTGTGGGATAGTTTTCTCACAGGAGTGGCTCATTACATTTCATTGCTTTTCTTTCTTATACTTATCTTATATCATGTAGCTTTAATATTTTGTTGTAGTTATTTTGTTTATTTCTTTGTTTCTTTATTTTTTCACTAGGCCTTCACTAGGCCTTATGAGTTGTTATTGTTATATTTGTTAAAGAGAATAAAACTTTTTCCTTTCATTGAATATTTGTGGGTGATCCATCTTTTATGTTGCGGCTTGAAACGAGCTGGCCGTAACATTACTAAATATTATTTACTTTACCAAACAAAACAGTGAGAATCAAGAAGGTTATTATGGAAAATTCATTTTTATTTTTGTTGATGTTGTAAATTTAATGCATGTATTATATGTATGAAAGTGTTAGCTATCATGAACCAGTAACACTTTACAATAAGGTTTCATTAGTTAAATAAGTTAACATTAACTAATAATGAACTGCACTTCTACAGCATTTATTAATCTTAGTTAATATTAATTTCAGCATTTACTAAAACATTAAAATCAAAAGTTGTATTTGTTATCATTAGTTAATGCACTGACTGTGACATAACATGAATAAACAATTAACAGTTGTATTATTAACTAAAATTAACAAATACAGTAACAAATGTGTTGCTCATGGTTAGTTCATGTTAGTTCATACATGAAAAATGAACAAATGAACCTTATTGTAAAGCGTTACTATGAAATTAAAGATATAAATTCCTTACAATTTAGAGTTGAACATGGACTTAAGATTTCATTTAACTAGATGTATTTCCCCAAGCTAATAACACTTGCTATGGCCTTGGATAAAAACGAATGACATTGTCACTCAGAATGCGTCTGAAATCGAGTTATACTTTTATTGTAGTTAAGTATAACTCGCATGCTGCCGCAACTTTTAGAGTAGCATGGTGATGGTAGGTAGGATAAATGTAATTTTCCGTATTAGCTTTAACGTTACCTGCTGCTCGTTTGAAGACTCGCGCGAACTGCTGCGTAGTGCCTATATGCTACCAGAACCGTTGAAGTAAGTAACTTTTTTATCTTAACCGAACAGCTTTGGAGTCATTGTAATGTTTATATTACTGATGTCGTGTTGAATGGTGGTCGTCTCGCACCCTCCTGGTGCCTGTGAGCCGCAAAACCACCCTTGCAACTTTGGGCCGGCGAGCCGCCGGCCTGAGTGTTAGGAAGTATCGTGTGATATCAGGTCTCGCGAGGTAACGAATTGCTTTACGGCTAAAAAACAGATCTGATAAAATTCTGATAAAATGAGCATCAAACAGAAATAACCCGGCGCATGTGGTGTTGGGCGCGCGCAGCTCTTAAAGGGGCCATACCTTATTTCCACTCGTTACAGCGTCCATCCTACTGAATAGCATACCTGCCAACTTTTGAGTTTTGCTCGGCGTGAGATTTGTGGGGGGAGGGGGGGGTGGCGGGGGGCTGGGGGTGGGGGGGTAGAGACGAGTGAGATTTGTTGACGGGGGGGGGGGGGGGGGGGGGGTCTCGCTCGCGCAAGGTCTCTCGCTCGCGCAAGGTCTCTCGCTCGCTCTACGCGGTTTGGAGCACAATCTCTGTCTCGCATGCACGCTCGCTCTAGATAACGGGAGATTTTTAACGAATTTGCGGTATAACTAGTCGATCACGAGTGGCTCAACAGGTAGATATATAGATAAACTCATCTTCCAGGCATTTGACCGCCCGGGTTGACACTTCAGCGTGAGAAATCGGGAGTGTGGCGTGTGAGCGTGTGAAACCAATCAAATGCGGGTGTCTCACGGCCAATGCGTGAGAGTTGGCAGCTATGGAATAGGTACCGGTAACCGGTGTACAGGGGGAGGGGATCCGGCCCTGAATGCGAGCCATCTCTGCGTGAGTGCTATTCACGACAGTACAAGTGCTCCACAGCGACTCTAGGGTTCGCTGTTTGACAAAAACGGAATTCTTACTGAGTGCTGCTTTAAATGCATACAAGGCGCTGCAAAGGAAACTCCGCCTACCACTTCTCCGCCAATTTTTTTTTTATATAATATTTGTTTGTATAATTATTGCTAGTGGCAAGGGTGTGTAAGTGTATTGTTATTTTTTATAATTATTATTATTATTTACAATTATCAGAAAAGGGCACAATACATTTTGAGACAAAAAGGGCAGGGGCTTGAGCCCCCCCCCGCCCGTGCACGCCACTGCACCCGACCCACCCAACACAGGCTAATTAAAAACGAAAAAAATGTAGAGCGGGTACTTCTATGTAGTTTCGGTTGTTGATTGGATTTTGAAATGTGGCCGTTGTACTCAAAACGATGCTTGCAGTGCCAAGGTTTCAACGGTCATTTTCACTGGAAGTCCCAATAATGACATTTTCCTTAAACATTACACCAAAAAAGAGAGAGAGAAAAAAAACATGCTGAAACATATGCACATATGAATTGTTCAATATCTATAACATTCTTTTTAGGAAATAGATGGGTGAATTTTAATTTCATGCCGACATAAACTTTATTCATGAGGAATTAAAAAGTTGGCGTCGCATGCCTGCCAGACCAAACACAAGTTTAAAATACCTAAAGATAAAATATAGCTATATGTTTAAAACGAACTATCTCCTCATTGAGGTCACTGAATTGACACTAGTGGCATTCAATAACGCTTATGTAGCCTACTCATCTATTCTAAATCGATTGATACACCAAACAGTTTATGAATATCGCCTTTTTGCTCCCCGTGCTGTCTTTTTGGATTACTTACTATTATGATTTTCCGTAGTTCCCTCATTCTAGTGACTGCAGACCTTGTAAATTCACTTAGCTAATTGATTTCAGCAGGAATCACGTTGCTGACTGTCATGTGATTGTACAAGCTTGGCCTTGTTAAGAGACTCGCGCCTTCAGGTCGGAAGTGCAACGCGGGAAGCGCGCGTGCAAGACAGGACTGATGCGAGAGGCCGCCTCGCTGTCAATCATACGATGTTTTGGCTGTCAATCCAGTGTGGCCACACCCTCATGTCCGCTAAGACCACACCCTCATGTCAAAGATGAAGTCGGTGGAGAAGCCGGTAGCACTTAAAGACGGCCAGTAGTAACAAACTAAACTTTACTCACACGGGTTTTCTCACGAAGTCTTGTAGCCTATAAACAACTTTAAAATGGCCGAAGAAGTGTTAATTACGAGTCCAGGCAAAATAACGTCGGTAAGTACACTATTTTATCACTTTAAATTGTCTTATTTTGTTATAAATATGAGTAACTTAGGCCTATGTTTTGTAACTTATCCTATTTGTTTTCGTTCTAACGTTAGTTGTCTTATCATCCTTAAACCGTATTCTGATTGTTATATATATGCCTCAAAAAGCAGAATACTTTATTAAAGTTTATTTTAGTTGGTCGTTAAAGTTTGGTTGATTAAGGTTTTGTAACGTTAATGTTTTTAAAATGTATTGTAATATCAATAATATTTAATGTAATCTTTAATGTCACATTTTTCATTTGTAAGAAATGATGTGTAGAACAAAGAAAAGCCATTAAGTTAATGTCACAAGACATTTTCAATAACTTCCCTCACATGTAGGACTATACATAACCAACTGTATCTGACCACTTAGTGGAACTAATGAAGTTGTTCCACTCATGATCTGAAGTGTAACGACCACTGAAGTCACACGATGAGAAAGCTATTCTCCCCTCATCTGACCTAAACTATTGCTCTAACATTTTAAGATCAATAGAATAGAATGTTTATAAACTTAAATATATTTGTTTAACAATATTTTTTTTTTAAATTGCATAGTAATGTAATCCTGTTATTTATGTAATTAGCAATATATATATATCTGAATTTAAAGACAAGTCAATATTTGTTTCATTTCTGATTTAGTTCTTCCAAAACACACTAAGAATGTCTGAGACTACTTATGAATGTGATTCTATAACATCAGGTCTACATGTGCTCATAGTTTCTTTCAAAGCTTTTTTTTTTTTAAGAAAAAAGAAAGAAACAACAGAAACATCTAGCTTCTTTAAGGAAAAAAGTGAGGAAAATTACAGCTCATGGTCCATACATATTTGCTCTTTTCTTTTTAATAGCATCTTACCTCATCTCTGCTGGCAGTGGCTTTCCTGACCTCCTTTGGTAGCTCAATGCTCTATGGATACAACTTAGCTGTGGTCAACTCTCCTGCTGGGGTAAGAGCTCATTTACGTACTCAATACCTTGATTGCCAAAACTGCTCATCAAAAAAAGGTAATCACTAAACAACATAACCAATATATTTCCATTCATCACAAAAAAAGTGGCTTCCAGTAGAGAGATGCATGTCATGTCAGAATAAACAAAGTGGCCTGAACAGAGTCTCTACTTACACAAGATGTCAGAGAATGTTGCCTTAACATGATTCTATGCATTCTGATTCTAGACATTCTTGTTGTAGTGTGTAAAATTAAATTGGGGGATAATATAAATGTATATTTAATATATAATATAATATAAAATATGTGTGTGTGTGTATAATCTCCTTAGTCTTTCTCCATAAAATTGAAGAAACAAAGTATTGATGCCTTATTTTAATATTTTGTAGATGACTCAGTTAGATGTTATTTGTTCATCTTGGCTTGTCAGGCATTTTGTTCTGCAGTGGTTGCCTCTAGCAGCTCTTCATGTATATAAGTAGGGACCTATTTGCCCTGCCCCATTAGCCTGTTAATGATGAAAATATTTAAATTTTCCTGTCTGGTCTCCTGACTGGCTGTTATATACCCTATTTAAGTGGCTTTGTTTTGTGCTGTTTTTCTTGGAACATCACGTGCTAATGAAGAGGATTCAAACATAGAAATCCAAAAATTACTGCTGAAATGGTTATTGTTTTTTTTTTTTTTTTTTTTTTTAAGCATAAGCTCAATCAATGTTATCGGTAATCTCGATTTTTGTTTGTTAAAAATTTAAATACGAGAGCTCTCCCAAGTCTATTAAATGGTACTGCCGTGTTCCAGCTTGAGTTAATTTGGAATGGAAAAGAAAAGGTACATAAACTGAAATTAAATTAGACTGTGACCTTAAAGTAGGCCTATATGCAGAAAAGGGAGTGAGTGACATAGAAAGAAAAAGAGAGAGAAGAAGAGCTTGTCACGAGACAGAGGCTTGTAAGTCTATGTCATAGGTGTGTCTCGCTGAACAGAAGCTTGAAATATGAAAAGTTGGTGAAGTTTGGAATCTGACAGTGATATACATGTAAAAAAAATAATAATAATAATAATTTACAGAATAGTTCACCTTCACCCAAATATAAAATCACTATCATGACATTCGAAACATACTTGCTTTCTTCAGGCAATGAGGTTCTTCTCACGGGACATATGGACTACTATTATGATACTTATAGTTATTTTTATTTTTTATTCTGTAGCTTTTAAATCCTTTTTACTTACAATACTTGGTAAAAAACCAAAACAGTCTTCAAAAATTCCACTAAAAATGAATCCCAACAGTTTTTCAACAGTATGATGAAGAGTAAATACTAATAGGATTTTTTTGTGAAATATTTGCTTTAATTTCTCTGTCTCTCCATTTTCCTGTCACTCACAGTACATTAAAGACTTCTATAACCGTACAGTGGTAAGTCGTAATGGAACTGGACTAAACGAGGAGGCCCTGACGCTCATGTATTCTCTCACCGTTTCTGTGTTTGCGATTGGAGGCCTGGTCGGCTCTTTGATGGTGGGCACACTGGTCACCAAATTTGGAAGGTAAGTCAGGAGGAGACCCATAACATCTGGCATATTGTGGTCACTGGTCACTCTACCAGAAATTCCTCTGAGTGTCAAGGCCACCGAGGTATATTCTTCCTCATCTGTTACCCCACCTGACCTCTCTGACAGCACTGAATGACTTTGCCTTTGCCTTGTAAATGGCCTTGTTTGTACTCTGGAAACGAGCAGACATTTTGTCCAGTCCACTAGGCTCCAAACATCTTTGTTCCTGATTAGTTCAAACAAAAATAAAAATGCTGTCATCATTTACTCAAAATGTTGTTGGATGACTTACTTATTGCATGGAACACTAATTTTGAATAACACGCCGGCCGTTTTTTCAATGCAATTACAGTGAATGGAGAATACAGAGCTTAAAAAGTAAGACAAAAGCACAATGAAAGTATCATAAAAGTTGTCTGTGTGATTTATATTCCAAGTCTTCTGATGCCAAACAATAGCTCTGTCTTAGGGCCACTTTTATGGTACTTTATGAAGCTTTCTGTCCTTTGTGAAGCTTGAATGCTTCTGTCTGCATTCTTTGTAATTGTATGGAAAGGAGCTACTAGTACATTATTCAAATCCAGCACCCCCGCCCCCCAATTTTTATTTTATTTAAAGAAAAAAGTCAGATAGGTTTGGAACAAAATCAGAATGAGTAAATAATGACAGAATTTTTTTATGGCCACAGCCAGAATTTTTATATCTGTGGCAGCATGTAGGATTGTATAGTGACAAAACCGTTTAATTTACCAGTTTCTTACTATGTGCGCTATGTTAGCCATAGCTTACACTTCTATTTTGTGCTCTCTAAGGACTCTGAAAGTCCTCCTGTCTAGTCTGTTCTGAGTGTCTATGAGTGGCGCCACAAGATTTGACTGCAGACATTTAAATGCAAATGAAAGACGATGATTCATGATCCTATTTATTGTTCTAATCAATTTCAGTCCAGCAAAATGTTTTATAGCAGTAAGGTGATCATAACGCAGAACACGGTGCAGCCGTCTGTAAATCAGGGGGAAAGTTTACAACTTGATAGAACTAATCAAGGAATGCAGCTATTTCACCCAGCAGCACTGTCATGGAACATCAGTTATCTGGTTTTGATAGTTAAACTCCCAGGTGTCCGGATATCAAGCATGACTGTCCTGGCTTAATGAGCAGTGCCAGAGCAGGACTTCACAAGGTTTGCTTTTGCAGGAAAGGAACAGTGGTAAACTCCACTGTACTGGTGTTCTTAGCAGCATCTTTCATGGGGTTCAGCAGGATCTGCAGCTCGCCCGAAATGGTCATCTTTGGTCGTTTTGTCACAGGAATACATTCAGGTATGTCCCAACTGAAAAAAAAGGATGTATAGTAAAGTAAGACATGAATGGACTCTGATATGCTTTCCTCATCTCCATCTTCCAGGTATCTCTCTTAGCGTGGTGCCCATGTACCTTGGAGAGATCGCTCCTAAAAACCTGAGAGGCTTCCTGGGGCTCATGCCCAGCATTTTCATTTGCGCTGGGGTTTTCTCAGCTCAAATCTTGGGCCTGCATGAACTTTTGGGGAAGGTGCAACAGCATACTTAACTTCAATAATCTATTTAACATCATACAATTACATTTTCATAAAAGTTATGAAATAGAGTTCAGCATTCTGTTTTAATTTGTGCTTTTTTTCTTGATAGGAGGAGCACTGGCCACTGTTTCTCTCTCTTGTGGTTGTCCCTACCTTTATCCAGCTGATGTTGTTACCGTGGTTTCCAGAAAGTCCACGCTACCTGTTGATTGAGAAGCACAATGTTCATGCCACTATCACTGGTGAGAGAAATGATTTCGAGTAAGAACTTGAGCCATTTAGGTATATTTCAAAAGATCAATCTCTCTATTGATGGCGTAATCCTATTCAACCATCAAATCTACCATGAATTTAAAAAAAATAATACATTATATGCAATAGATCAACTTATTAATCAGTATTTTTGTCTTGATTTTGAACTACGTTTAGAACTAGATTTAAAGCATAAATCTAATAAAATATATTGAAAGTATATTGGTTATATATTTTTATATATATATCAGTAATATATATTATCATTATTATCATATTTGTTTTGCTTAAAAAAGAACAAACAATGGGATAAAATAAACTTAAATCAACATGTTCTGATAGTTTTTTTTTAAGGGTGATTATAGATATTTTTACTGGAAACCAAGACCAAATTCTGATTAAGAAATTATTATTTTGCAGTATAGGCACACATTCTTTCATCGACATGTAGGAGGGTGATTGTTGCCATGAGATGAGTATTACACAGTATATGTTATTCGTTTTATTTTGTTCATGGGTCATGCTAAAAGGGGAACTTGGCAACTATTTCAAGTTAATAAAACCGTTTAGAAATCATTTGGATGGTTAAATAACCTGTTCTGGTGAAAATTGTGACTTTCCCCGCTCCCCCCAGCGTTCCCAGGCGGAAAACCAACCTTGCAACACGGGGACTAACGTCCCGGTAAGTTGGACATAGGAAGTCTCGTGAGAAGCGAGAACGAGCGAAAAACACGAACTGCTTAATGGCAATTCGTCATAATTCTATGATACTGTGTATGATGTATTACCCCACCTCGGTAGACATAGCTCCACACGATAAAGTTGCCTGGCTCCGATAATAACAAATGCACATAAGCAGCGGTAGAAAGGGGGAGGAGGGTGCGGCAAGTGAGTTTTTTTACGAACGTGTTGTGAAATACACGCCCCACATCTGTAGGGGGAGCTCGGTGAGAAAACATGCGACAACAAAAGTGAAAATCAGCGAAGAAATGGCTGCCAAGAGCTGCCAAGTTCCCCTTTAAGTTGGGTATGTGGTAGGAATGGTATGACTGGGATATGGTACAGTGACAAAAAAGGCACCTCATGTTAAATATTTGCCGACTCCTGATATAATAAAGATTGAACCAATATCTTGTGTTCTCTTTGTTGGTACAGCCTTGAAATGGTACAGAGCCAAATGCAACATCCAAGCAGAGATAGAGGAGATGCAGGAGGAGCAACGCTCTCTCTCCTCAGGTGAGACCGTGTCTGTCTGGCAGCTACTACTGGACCAAACAGTTCGCTGGCAGGTCCTGTCTGTTGTGGTCATCAACATCGGTATGCAGCTGTCTGGCATTGATGCGGTAAGGTTAACATCCTGGTTTACATTTAGAGCTGACTACACTGCATGTTTTGAGATTGCTTGTTGTACCTGCTCCTTCCCTGTAATAGAAAGTTGATGATATGAACACAGTGAACAGTGATGGGATCTGGGTATGGTGAGTATTTAGCCTCTAAAGCCTCACAAAATTTCTTACAACGTCAAATAAAAAGCAGGAAACTAAGGGTACGTTTACACGACAACGATATGCTTAAAATGGAGAAGTTTTTCCTTTGAGTTTTCCGCGTACAGACGACACCATTGTCAAAACAATCCCCATTCACACAGATCCGCGAAAAAGACAAAAAACGCTGTATCCTGCTGCCAGGCCATTAGATGGCAGTGAAACATGACGTCATCGTTTTTATTGTTTACACAGAGACGTGCTATAACGCATTAAAAGTTTTACGTTTTTAGTTGAAAAAGAGTCCCTAAAGCTCAACCTGCGCAGCAGAGCATTGGCTATGGGCCAGCATTGAAAGTGGCTAAAGAGCCCTCATTTCTTTATTCATCAGAAAAGGCGAATTACCTTTTTAAAATACTTAACTGCAGATTAATTATTCAGATGATTAAGAGGACAGAGCTGACATAAACCTCACTCTTTATCCATCAGAGCTTAACAAATTACAATCTTCTTTTTTTTGGAAGTGTTTATGGAATCTAATTTGCACTACTCTGCTACAGCCATAAATATAAGCTATTATTCAAGCAAATTAGATGTATTTTTTAATTGTTCCATCGTTAAAAGGGTGATTATGGTGATTTGGCAAATCTTTTTTGATCTATAAACGTTCCCCTTTAAATCAGAGCTAACAATTTAACTATTAGCTTGTGATTCCAGAAACGGATAGCTTTTCTTTTTCTTAGTAGTAGTTTGATGGTATAGTTTTGAAGTTGACACCTGTCAGCTGACACTGTCCGTTTAAACTTGCCTCTGTATTGCTCTTTTATGGCATCTGTATTATAACCAGTTTATTAAATCATTCATTTGATGTTGGCTAATTTGACACTTCTCAGCTCTGTTTAACACATCAGATTATGCAGAATTCCACAGATTATCTCCCAAAATCAGTAGAACAAATGCTGAAAAAAAGTCTTTGACTTTGTCAAATGGCAATTTCTATTTCGGCCATGTGTTCATCTAATTTTAAACCCTCACAAAGGCTATAAATAAAAGCTATTATCCCAGTGGCGATTCATCAATTTAAATCCTTTACTGACATTGACATTCATTCCACTTATTCTGGAAGAAGAAAAACATTTTTTTGAGGAGTTGCAGACTATGACAATGTGTGTGACTTGCATTATTCAGTTAGCCTGGCCTTTACAGAGGTTAATATGAAATAAATAAATAAACATTGCTTGCTGGACAACAGAACAGGATATCCTTACAGTTTCATATTGCTGCAAAGCTGAAATATCAGTATTGTCTTTTTAACTACTGTACTTAAAAACTCTCTGAGACTCTTTTGCAAATTCATAGTAACTTTAATTCCCAAAAACACAGTCTTGAGCTGCTGATGTCAAATCCAAGACTATCCAGGTTTGCCCAATGGGGTTTTGATATCAAATTTGAATATTAAATGACATTGACTGTATGGCCCTTAGGAGGCAGGTGACCCTGTGAGCGTCTGTGTGTGTATTCAGTGTAAATGGGGCTGACAGGTGGTGAGTCTTGGCTGACTTCAGCATGAGCAGCAGGAGAGAGGCAGGCCGTGAGTGTCCTCTACAGTCCCAGCAGCTCTCAAACCGTCTGTGTTCTCTCTGATTACCCCCCTGCCTAACCTCACACACAGCCCTCCAGCTCTCAAATTGAATCTAAAGTGTTGTATGCCGTAACCGCTCGCAGTCACGATATGCCACCTGTACAAGCCAAAATCACTATCCTTCCACTTACCTTCTCATGTTCTCCCCAGATCTGGTTTTACACCAACGACATCTTTGAGAACGCTGGAATCCCAGCCCCTGAGATCCAGTACACCACTGTAGGAACTGGAGCAATAGAGATAGTTGCAGGCCTCATAGGGGTGAGTTTTCATATTTTGCTGAGTCGAATGTGAAAATTGTCTTTCAATTATTGATAGTGGTAAAAGACTATCTGACAGGGTTATAGTGATGCAAAATAGTTTATTGGACATCACTTGGTCTATTACTTAATAAGATTTGACAAAAAAAATTGTAAACATTCTTAAAATGAATTAAGTTTATTTTTCATTCCCCATTGGCAATTTTTCTGTTTTGTTTTAAGCATTAATCTAACAAAATATATTGATAATAGCTTAATAAAATAAAATATTTTTGCTTAAAACAAGAAAAAAAGAACCAAAGGGATAAAATAAACTTAAATCAGCATGTTCTTATATCAATCATATATCATACAACAATCTCTTAATATCTTGTATGATTTTGCTTCTCGTGTAAATTTATTTTGTTTTAAGAATGATTAGATATAGTACACCACTGTAGGACCTGAAGCTATAGAGATTGTTGAAGGCCCCATAGGGTTGAGTTTTCATATTCTACCGATGTGTTCACGGAGTCGAATGTGAAAATTGTCTGTTTCAATTATTGATAGTGGTAAAAGACTATCTGACAAGGTTATATAGTGACGCAAAATAGTTTATTAGACATCACTTGGTCTATTACTACACTAGAGTTGCTACATTTGAGAAAGAACGTCTTTTCATATCTCAATCATTTTCATTTAGCTTTGCCCTCAATCTTTCTCAGCTCATGTTGTGTATTTTTCTGCTTTGACACTCATAAAAAAACACTGTATAAGATGAGCGTTAGAGAGAGTGATGTGTCTTGTTTTTGCCGCCTCCTTCCTTGGGTCACATCTCAGAGCTGTAATGAAGGCCAGATACAGTCCTCTTGCTCTCTCCCAGTTGCGTCGCTTAGCCGGGATTTAGTGATGCACCAGCAGCAACCGGAGAGAAAGAGGCACACTGTTAGTCAGAAGAACTCATTGCTGTCAGTGTCAATTGGCCCTCACTCGGGAGGCGAATGGCACACGAGAGAAACGCTAGAGATTGGTTATAAAATTACAGCTATTCATTCTTATGTCAGCTTCACCCGCCTTTAAGTCAACAGTGCACAGCTTTAGCGCTCAATTTTAGCAGTATTTAATGAAAAAACAGGGTTCCACTTTATGCTTTTACAGCATTTGCTTTCAAAAAATCACCAAAAGCCATCCTTTCAAGACAGCAGTTACTGATTAATCTGATCAAGACAAAAAGGAAGTGCCTATTGTGAACATCCACATTGCATCTCTTGTTTTTCCTTCAGTGTTTCACCATTGAGCGTCTTGGGCGAAGGCCATTGATAATTGGAGGTTTTGGTGTCATGGGAATTTGTTGTGCTGGGATAACACTGTCTCTCATTCTTCAAGTAAGTAAAACATAATTAATAAAGTGAAAAATACTTCAATCTAACCTGAATTAAATTTAAATTGCACTGCCCTTTGAAATAACTCTCAGCAAATATTTGGGCAAGCTAGAGTGTCGTTATCTTGCATGTGATTGTGATTTATCACACTTTTATCATCTTTACATCATTTAATCACCATTTCCTATTATCATATTTTCAGACACATGTGCCTTTCATGAAATATGTGAGTGTGGGGTGTGTGGTGGGTATAATCGCTGGGTTCTGTATTGGACCAGGTGAGCTTTTTTGTGTCTCTCACCCTTTCTTCTTTTAATCTACATCTAAAGTAATCTGCATGGCTACATCACTTAAAGTCATGCTCAGACTTATTTGGTAAAGCACTGCTTCAATTGGATGAGTAGTTGCCTGCTCTTTGACCCTGAATTCCCAGATGACGTCTTCAAATAGTGAAATAGCGACACCTGGGGGAAGAATTTTGAAAAGCAAGAGCTTAGACCTCAATATATGTTTGGGAATTAGATAGTGTTGTCATATGCAGTATATTCATTTTACAAAGACATTATATTTTGTCCATATTTTCCATATGTTTACATTTTTATCTGTTCAGACTGGTTTAAAGACTTTCAAACTTTCAGAAATAAGTAGTTTCAAATGTATTTTTTTATTATATTTATTATTTTAATATTTTACATGTTATTTATGTATTCTTGTTAGTATATATATTATAGTTATTTATGTATTTCAATAAACATTAAGTATTTAATGAACATTGTTCACCCAAATTCACTAGGATTAATGCTATCTAGCATTATTAATCCATTAAGAGATTTTTTTTACATTGCATTTTACATATTTTTCATAACTTTTTTTAAAAATTAGATTGAAATGATTTTTTTTTTTTAAACAATACTAACTTAGATGTTACATAAAAAATGTTTGAAATATACTTTTCTGTAAGCACACATAATCAGAAGATAAATTGTTCCAATACAGATTTATTGAGTTTCTTAGTTTACACAAAAATGTGTGATCGTGAACCACATTTTTTCATATTAAAATATAATAGACACAACAGATAATAGTGTACAGATATCTTAGAAATCTAGACCGAATTACATTAAATTGATATAGTGATAATAAATTGTACTGTTGAGGAGAATATATTGGCATTTTAAAGAGTTTCGAAGATCAAAGTATGAAAGTTAAAGTGTGTACTTCCCTCTATTAGTGCTGAATGAGCATGTGACTCATAGTTTATGCGCACAATAAGAACAGAGAGGAGTAGCTCTGCTACAGTGATGAATGAGACTAGAAGTGCTTTACTGAGTTGATGCATTATCCAACCCAACTCCAAAATCTATAATTCATTCTCAGGCCCCAGTCTCAATCGGTGTAATTACGTCTTTAATTAGGATTTTTTATGGCTCATTGTTCATAAACAATGATGAATATGGCTTTTTAAGACAAAATCTTGCATGAACAATGAATTACAAGCAGAGTTCCTTATCAATTTAACTGCAGCATGCCTCCTGCTGCAATTATCACGCACAAATAATGAAGCCATCGCTTGGCTTGTTCCTGAATTCATTACATTTGAAATAACACCTTGTGCCTCCTTATTTTTCACTTGTAACCAAAAGGGATTAGAACTTAAGCAGTGGAACAATCTCTGCTTCCTGCATATTGAGATAACGAGCTCTTCATAAAGCTAGTTTATTATCCTCCCTCCAAGAACTGTTGCACTACAGTAGAGGAGAGCGTACATGCATGTGCATAAAAGTGCATTCATAATATTATGCTTTTATGCATTGTATTATGCTAAAAAAAAATATGACAGTTCTAGGTTTCACAGTACTTTTTCTCTGAGATGAAGTTTGGTTATTAAACATGAAAAATAAACACGCTGTCATTATATACCATTAATACGGATGTGTCTGTTTTAGCGGGTGTTCCGTTCCTGATCACGGCTGAGCTCTTCAAGCAATCCCATCGTCCTGCCGCATACACCGTGGGAGGGTCTCTTAACTGGATGTCGAACTTCACCATCGGCTTCATCTTTCCGTTCCTTCAGGTATCATATTCATATAGCGCAGTTGAAGCTAAGGGTACACAGCGTTTAATCAGAAAAGGGTTTTCCAGGATTGAGGTCACCTTGTGCATTGAAAACATTTGTCAAAGTCAATCAGTGTAAAAATTCAATCATCTTCATTTAATTCAGCTGCTTTAAAAAGGAATAACTTAGTTTGCATTCCATCCTATTTCTCTGCTACAGAGGTCTGCTGGGTCCTACTGCTATCTGGTGTTCTGTTCCGTGTGTCTGGCAGTGGCCATCTACGTGTACTTTGTTATTCCTGAAACTAAAAATAAGACGTTTGTAGAGATTAGTCGGATGTTTGCTACTAAAGAGGCTGTGGAAGAGAGCCAGGCCCTCACTCACCCAGACCAGCTCAAACTGAAAAAGATGAATGGATATGGTTCACTTGAGAATGGTTCACTTGAATTCGACAGCTCTTCTTCCTGTCCTTGAACTCAGATGAAAGCAAACAATGCATAAGAAAGGTTTAGGGATTAGATCAACTCTAATCATGTCAATGATCATCCCTGCAATAAAAGCCTGACTGAAAGGCATGGTTATGCAGCTAGTGAATATTACTTTTGTGCGCAATGGGCTCAGACTGCAAGAAGGTCCATTCCTCCTTATAACAAAACCTGAGCCGAAATTAGTTTTCAGAATCAGATTTAGTTTTGCAATGATGCCTAAACATCCTGAGCTTTGTGATACCTTGTGTGCAAGGGCAGTGACATTGACATGTATTGCAACATGTATATTGTTCTTGAGAACTTTTGAAATCACAAGCTAGATTTTTTTTTTTTTTTTACTATTTTTCATGTTTATGAAATGTCTTCATGTATATAGGCCTTATACATATGTTTATCTTATATAGTTGATCTCTTGATATAATGATCTCTTGCACACATTGTGAGCATTGGATCATTTGGAAATACTCAGGTGCTAACATACCACCTCATCAGAGACTGCTGTAGCAACTTTAAATACACTGAGATCAAACTTGCACAGGTATTTTACATATAACTTTGTTTTAATAATGTTGAATTTTATTTACAGTCATTTTGAATACTGCTACAGCTGTAAATGTGTATTAGTACGTATTGTATACACTACCATTAAAAAATGTAAGGTCAGTAAGTTTTTTTTTTTTTTTGAATAAATTAAAATTTGTATTCAACAAGAATGCATTAAATTGATCAAAAGTGACAAAGATTTACATTTTTGATGCTACAAAAGATTTCTATTTTAAATAAATTCTGTTCTTTTGAACTCTCTAAAAAAAAAAAAAATATTAAGCAGTATGTTTTCAACATTGATAATAATAAGAAAGGTTACTTGAGCACCAAATCAGCATATTAGAATGATTTCTGAATGATCATGTGACACTAAAGACTGGATTAATGGCTGAAAAATCAGATTTGTCAAAGCAGGAATACATTTTTAAAAAAGTTTTCTTTTAATATTAGTGTTTTTTACTGTATTTTTGATCAAATGAATGCCAACTTGGGCCAAAGAGACTTCTTTCAAAAACATTAAACAATCTTACAGACCCCACACTTTTGAAGGGTAGTGTATTAAGGTAATATAATATATTAAGGATATATACTGTATATGTATATATATATATATATATATATATATATATATATATATATATATATATATCTGAGTTTCAATCTAATTTATATGGATATAACTATATTTGACCTCACATGTACTAAAAATATTTTTATAGTATTCAAAACTTTATAACACACCAAATAAAAGTGTTTTAAATGAGCCTGTGGTAACCCATTTATTGAGAACATCAGGGTGCGGAGTGAAAAAAAGCTTACAAAGCAGGATCTGAGTACAGACACCATTGGTTTCTTCCAAAGAGTGCCTTTGCCAGTCAGAGAAGAGCTTCATTAACTCACTGAAGAGGCAGATTTAATGCTTAATTAAAAAGAAGAGTCTCTCACCTTCCCCTATGGATACCAAACAGCTGGACGGCAGTTTATATTCAGATACACTATTGGAGGGTACTACGTTACTGCATTTAAGGTATGTATCAGATTATGGATATGTATCTATATAGAGAGCTTTGTGCTTGTATAGTGCTGTCTTTTCTCTCTTATCCCAGGCTTGTGCGAGTATGAATGGGTTTCTCTGGTCTATCAAGCCCCTGGGCGGTGCTCTCCATCTGTGTAAGCCTCTCCAGATCTCCCCAGAAGAGACCCACACAAACTAATGATATCATACGCCTTGCTCTCCCGCTCCAAGAAGAGAAATTGTGAGCTGAATTGTGTCTGGCTTTCTGTTTGGGCAGTCTTCAAACACCGAGCTCAAGGTCACTGGTTAAGCAGGTTCTCGGTGGGCCATTGTGCACAGCTGTACTGTCCCAAGTCGTTTTAAGAGAAATTACAGTGCCGGCAAGGTTTTAAAATACATCATACTTATTTTTATTCTGCTACTGAACAATGTTCTGCTATTTTTGATTCAAATTTAATTTTAATATACATACACAAACATATATATATATATATATATATATATATATATATATATATATGTGTGTGTGTGTGTGTGTGTGTGTGTGTGTGTGTGTGTGTCTGTCTATCTGTCTATCTATCAAGGTGGGACAAGCTCATGATTGGGTGGTCTGGGGCCACCATGGCCCTATTGGTCCAGATCTGTTTTATTTCCCAAAAGGCAGAGCTTCGATATTTTCCACAGATAAGACTTTGAAGAACCTGCACCACCGGCTTCAGGTAGCGCTGACATTTAGGCTTTTATGCACTGATTTTCACTGATTGGAGAGAGGCAGCATGGATAATAATGCCCGCTGAATCTTGTTTTGTAGAATAAAGTCACTCTTAAATCGCCACCCACCCAGCGCAGCTCTAAATACGGCAGCTCATATTTCACTGTGAATTGACTCCCCTGATGGAATGAGTGTCTGTGTCCTGTAGGTCAGCAGGAGGAGAGGATGCTGGTCTAATTAGCAGCAGAGGAATCTACTGTCGGCCCAACACCTGTCATCACAGGCACAACTCTGCCCCCTGCTGTCCGAAAAAGGAAGGCAATCAAGGTGTCTACAGCAAGTGAATGTGAAGGTATGCTGTATTTATAGGCACATGATCCTCTTCAGTGTTACTAATACATGTATTAGACATTAAACCAAATATTTAGTAGCAAAATGCATCAATATGCATGCACCGTATGAATGTGTCAAGATGTGGTAGCACAATACCCACTTTCGAGCAAGACATTTTGTCATAATGACAATGGCAGGAAGTGGGAGAATATTTCAACACTCCCACTCCCACTGTCACCTCATAAAGAAACAAACACACACAGTACCCTCACACAGAAGACCTGCTGCTCGCTCCAACATTTTAATTAATGACAACAGATTTTCTTCTCATAAGTGCTTTAATGTGGCTTATTGCTGTAGCAGTCCCCTTGGCCGTGGAAATATTATGTTGACGGATGTGCTGTGTCGCTGGGACTCCCTGGATGGAGGCAGCTGTCAAGCCCGAGATGATAACATTAAGGCGAGGGAAAGTGATGACAAATGCCTGTTATCAGCGAACGAGGCCAGTGACAAATCGAATTGCGGCTCCCAAGAACCCCCATTACACCGTAATAAAAAAAGATTGATGGTCCTCTCTGTCAGGACCTCTGTTAATGCGATTTCGACTGGTCTCTCCGGCTTCCAATTAAGATGGCGAGGAGAAGGAGGGAGAGAGAAGCGACTACACACAACCGACTAATTGGATCTGAGAAGCCAAAGGCGTTCTCTCATTCTTTTACTCTTTCTTTCCCCTCTCTCTCTCTCTCTCTCTTCAGCTGTTACGCATTCTTTCTCTCTCACTCGTGGCAGCGCAGTCTGGAGCGAATGCTCTTGCATTCCGTTATTTCAGGATTTATGGCTGGGAGATGGGGATGCAGACTGCGCTGCCGGTGATGGGGAGCGCTGTCTCACTGCCAGCTCCTGCATACAGACGGGCACAGATGGGAGCGGAGATGCAAACCCTGCCAGTGATGAAACGTCCTGACAAACAGTGGGACAGACAGAGAGACAAATAGCTCCATGTGAGCTGCTTGCCATGCAATTAAGTAAATAAGGATTGACTGTGTGTCAGTGGTGGGCTCCGAGTACGTCATTCTTCACTGATGTCTGTGTGCCCACTGATTTCATTACCACTGAATGCTTGTTATGCTCCTCAAGGACTTTTTGAAGATGAGGTGGTGAACAACACCGTGGTGGTTAAGCAAAGAGCTTCACGCACCTTATAAAAAGATGCTTGTGATCATTTTGCAATCACATTAGGTTGACCACAGAATTGATGGACCTATATTTGATTATTGCTGATTTGAACGTTTGTAACTAGGTCACGTTCGTGGCGGTGACAAATATCAGATCTTGAAGCCTGTGCAGTGGCATCTGAAAATTGTAGACTGACCTATAAAAGAAGGCACTGTCCATCAGCTCATCCTCCAGAGAAGCCTCCATGGCTCCTCTGTGACCTGAGGATTCATTGAATGATACAGGAGGTTTTATTGTGCCAAGCTTGTAGTTTTCGTCTGAGCTGTGCAGCCAGAGGGGAGCCATTTTGTCATTTTGACAGAACCTTCAGAACTTAGTGACATGAAAAGGGGGATGTAACCAACCAATATTTCCTCCGCCGTTTTACTTTAAGTATTTGACTTTATTGTATTAAACCTTGGCTTGGCTTCACAGACAGGGCTTAAAGGGGCTATGTGTAGGTTTTTACTTAAAAAAAATCTTTAAGATAGAGTCTTCATTTGTACATTTATGAGCCAACCATAATGTAATAGAAAGAATGACACCTTGACTGTCGGCCACGGTTGCCTCTATCAGCCTGTAGGCTCAATTGTGTGTGGAGGAGTCGGGTCCGAATTGGCGTGAAAATTCACAAAATGTGTCGTCATGCGTGTTCTCGTCTACTTGGGCTTACATCCGTACGGCAGCCATTAGTAAGCAGCGGCAATCGCTAGCAGTAGTGTTTCAAATGGACTCTGCGGACGGAAAGAAGCGACCAGCCTCCAACACAATCCAGATACCCACGGAAACTCCTCGTAAGTAAAAAAAAAAAAAAAGCCTTATCTAGTGCGGCCAACGAGCGTGCGTGTTATTTTTTTAATTGTATTATACATATATTTTATTTAAAGTTTTTAATGTTGTGTATATGTCTATGTGGTGTTTTTAACATGAATTTGCACATGGTTTGTCTTAAAGCATAAGTCAGCACCATTGCTGAGTATTTTCTCCTTAAAACGGCAGTGAACAAAAGACAGTCTCAAAATCGCGGTTTGAAATCGCTGGTGTTTCTGATGTCACAAACTACCTTGTAGCCAATCAAGTCAACGAGTGATCGTCAACAAGTGGATCTCTGAGCTGGTGTGAGTAAGTGGAGGCGGGGCTAATTTACAAATTCATAGAACCATATACTAAATGAGACAATGGTGTAGAGTTGCATTCAGGCTATTTTTTAATGAATGAATGAAAAGTTTTTATTTCGAACATGTAGAAAAAAATAAAATAAAATAAAAAAAACACTAAAAGAAAACAAAAATACAATCATACTAACAATTAATAAAAAAAAAATTTAAAAAAAAAATTTTTTAGCTTATACATGTCCGAAAAGGAGTAGGAAGAAGCATAAGCTTATTCAATCCTACCCCATCTCCACTACTTTTTAATAATTAATTAGCTAATTAACCGGTTGACCGAACATTTTGATCTATTTGTCTCTACACACCAAAAAAACAAAACCAACATACATATTTACCTATGTTTATACACATCTTCAATAAAAAATTACATAAGAAAATAAATAAAAAATAATAATAAAATAATTTTTTTTAATAAACTATCACCTAACTAATAACCTTCATCCTCTCTATACCTTGCAAATATCATATTTTTACAATGCTTTTTAAACTGAGTCATACTTGGGCATTGTTTAAGTACTGAACTTAATTTGTTCCACAACTTCACTCCACATATCGAAACACAAAAACTTTTTAATGTTGTGCGGACACATAATTGTTTAAAGTTGCTCTCACCCCTAATATTATATCTCCCTTCTCTATTAAAAAACAGTTGTTGAATATTACCAGGAAGTAGATTAT